CCTCGCACTCGTTTTGCCACAGAAAGTCGTTTTCAATTGAGCTCAAAAGCTTAAAAGCCAATCAATTCCCAGCGACACACGTTCTTTCCCTCTTCCTCTCGCTCTCGCTCCCTAGGGGCAGCGTTAAGGCAAGTGGCAAGCATTTTGTATACTCTTAGTTTACTTTGAATTTATTATGAGAAATTATTACAGCAGATCCTTAAAGTGAGCTAAATTAGTAACTGATTTAAAGGTTTTCGGATAATATTTTCTTTGCTTAGATTAATCAAGTACTTCGCGCCTTATAGGGCATTCAAGTTTCGTCTAGTCATTTAATTACTTGCATACATTAACGTACATGTTATTGAGTGTACCTGTACCTGATGCCAAATCGAAGTTCAGGCCATAACAGATGGCTGGAATCTATTAAAGCTGTGCATTACACGCAAAACAACTTAGAGCGAACCGGTAAGCTCTATGTGGCCCGCCCACCTAAAAATAAAAGCAGAAAGAAACGAGAAAAAATAAACCCCCGTATAGCGATTAAATTGATTAGCAGGCGGAAATCAAGAGCAAGACCAAAACCTGACTAAGAACCAAACGCATGGCCCACACGCAGTGCTCAGTCATGCAGTTACAACTGGAGCATTGATTGACTGATTGACTGCCTGTTTGACTGATTGATGATGTGAACTCTAATTGAAGTGCGCTACTCTCGCTGCTGACAAAGGCAATTGGTGGACTACTCATCAAATTTACGACGATTGCGTATAGTCGCTGGCGATAAAGCAAAGATAGTCTGCAAATCAAGTGGCCGATAACACAATGCCCGATAAAGCAAGACAAGTGCTACACTCGGAGAAATATCCTAGATACTTTACTTATATCAGGAGCAAACGTTGCTCAAATCCTAATTTCTAAAGCTGTTTCATTTTAAAGTCTTACTTAATTTCAGAATATGCATGAAATATAATTTAATATATGGACATATTTGAATTTAAGGCACAGTTTTCCTTTCAGTGTACTCTCATTTCCTCTAGCATATAAAATGTGAAAATAATGCAAGCTCAACAGACATTTGTCTTGGATTTGAAAATAGCCTCTCACAAAGCTGTTAACCAAACAAATGGACTCATGAGCGAGGCATCTGGATGAGCTGGCAGGGCAGCTGGTGAGTTGCAAATATTTGTGCGTTGATAGCACTTCATAAATACCTCTGCGAATTGCGTGTGAGCATTATGAATTGTATTTTATAGCACTTGTAAGTGTTTCGGCCAGCAAAGGCGATAAGATATACCATATACTCAGGTTACGGGTATAAATAAAGAACAACTGCGTTCTGGCGGAAGTACAGATTAGAATCAACCAACCCATGCTTCTAGATCAAATTCCATTATTTAAATTGTAAAAAGCACACGACAAGCGCCTGCTTTGGGGTTCGAGTCCAGCTTTTTGTCAATTCAAATATATACTAATTGATTCATTAATGCTACCAGACTTTTTGAATCTTCTTTGCCGCAAGTAGAAACCGTAAAAACTTATCCATTGACAACTTATCCAATCTCACGCTATGCTCAAGCAATTTACAGTTTCGGGCCATGTCATGACTTGATCTGCATGAGTCGCACTCACACGACACTCACGACACTCACAACACTCACGTTTCTCATATGTGATTGGCACTCATTTAAGGCTGGACACCCACATGCCGTTATGCAAAACTAGCGCTTGGTTCCCAGCGAACCGACTCTGCAATGGGTCCAAATACACTTGACAGAGACACCCAAAAACAAAAAAAAAACAAAAAAACACCCCCCAACCTCTGCCCCACACTTGGGAACAAACAAATGCAACGCCCGTCTGTCACTTGTTGTTGCTTGTCGCTGTTGTTTTATTGAGTGAACCCGGTCCGTGCAATTAGCTGGAGGTCGTTTGTCCGGCCAACATTTTGGCTGCATGTGTGTGTGTCTGTTGTATTGATATTGAAATGGGTGTGGAACGTTACCCACGTCAGGCAAGCGGACAATGTTTTGGCCACAATTTGTTTAACAAATTGTTATTAAATCGTACAATGTCTGCCAATGATTGGCCATTGTGTCAAGTTAATTGCAATTCGGAGGCCCAAGACTGAAGCTGACGCTGAAACTGAAACTAAGTTAGGCTGTCCACATTTAAGCCAGCCAGTTTCTGGGCCCTTTTTGGAGCCAACCAAAAAAAACGAGTTTTCGGTTTTTGCGCAGATTTTCTTTGTTTTTCTCTATTTTATTTTTTAGACAGACTGTCATTCAATTGTCAATATCTGCGCAGCTCGATCGTCGATCGTCACGACTTGCTGTCTTCTGGCTGTCGGAAATTGGTTTTGCATTGAACTTCAATTGAAATTTGCTGGCACGCTGGCAGCTTGGGCCACGGCCATGGGCGTGGCGGCTGCTGGGGCGCGTGGCAGCTGCGAGCGTTACATGCAGCGCAATATTTCAAAAGAAAGTTGAACTACATAAAATAAGTCTAATTAATTGACTGGAAATTGCATTTGGGCATACACTTTCAAAATGGAGCGTCAGATTCGGAATACACATATATTATCGCTAGCTATGGCAGATTTCTCGACTCAGATCCGATTATGGAAGTATTTACAATAACGACAGATCGCTCTTATAGTAACTGAAAGTATATGATATAATAAGCGGCAGTTCTTAAAAACTTATGTTTACCCTCATGAGGAAGCAAAGATTGGAATCAAAAAAAAATAATTGGCATCAGTCTTTTCGGGGGTTTGAACCCCCGAACATCTCGCTCAGTATGTCTTTCAGCCAATACAAACTCGTTCATATTTATTGATTACTTGTGCATGTTTTTGTTTCCACTCAGCAAACACAGACTCGTATTCTGTCTAAAATTTGTCGACACTTTGAATTGCTCGTCTCCAAAAGCAGCTAAGCATGAAGCTAAGAAGCTGCTGTTGCTGCTTAAGCTTAAGATTGGGAACTGCTTTAATAGCCCTGATAACGGCATTAATGTATGCCACGTCTATGGTGACTATGGCGCTCCTTCTGGCTAACAAGCTGCCAGGTAAGCGATGGCAACGCCCATTACATCATAAAGCAGATAGCACATCCTCGACTGTCCATCTCTTTAGCCGAGCTGGCCAACGAATATCTTGGCCAGGATACGCAACTGTATGTGCTCATTGCATCATCAGTTATGCTAATAAGCGCTCTCTTGTTAGCCTTTGGCGCACAATTGGTAAGGAACTGTATCTAAATCTGCAACTGTATCTGTATCTGTATCTGTAGGAAATTCCGTTCTTTCGTGCTGCCCTGGCTGCTATTCGTTTGCACGCACATCGTTGCTGATTGTATAACATTAATTTTGATTATACGATACGATGGGCCTATATATTTGATTCTTATAACATTCACGGCCTTGAGTGAGTAGAGGATATTTAAGACAGGGCTGCAAACCAAACTGTTCGAACTTTGGCTGAGAGTAAAAATAGATTAAAGTTTCGGGTTCGAACAGGGTTGGTTCAGAACCGATTTGCAGCCCTAATCTTAACGAAGTCCTTAACTATATGTAACCGTATTGCGTTTCAATTGCAGCTATATACATTTACTTTTGGCTGGTTGTTTTATTCTTTTTTAAAGATCTATTGGCCGATTGATGTTCCATTTTTACAATTTCATATTTCACTCAAGTCTGCTTCGCATTTATTGTCAAAATTTTAGGTACACTCAAATACGTGTACGTATTAGCACTCTTCTTTTAGCATAAACTTGGTCATGCTCTTTCGGCGATGCTGCTGCTGTTTTCCCCTGCGTTATGGCAGCCTGTCTATCGGCATTGTATTCACCTGTTTCTTCTTTGCCGAGATGGCCGTCCATGGCGAGCAGAGTGTTTTTCTCTGTAAGTCTTTATATATATATTCCCTTATCCATCCTACATATGTTTTCTACACTGCCCTTTACAGATACTAAAACCACCGACTGGAATTATGTGCAGTCGATCATTTTGACAACCGGTATTATTTCCTCAATAATGTTGATATGTGGTGCCTATAAGGTAACTTGCTCTACATCTACATACATGTCTTCAAAGAATTCAGCCAATGTCTTTTACAATATCTGACTACTATTGGCAGGGAAGACGATGTCTCTTAATAGTCTGGATGATAATCTTCCTGATCATATTCATATTATACCTCGTGATGTCTATTATAGATTTATGCATGTACCATTACACAATTGAGGGAGTATGCATGCAAGCGATTGTTCTGCGTAAGTCTGCTGAAGGAATTATCTATTCTACCGTCTTATTATATATTTTACTCTCATTTAATTAACTCCTTTATCAGTTAGTATAGCCCTCTCACTGATGTTTGTGCATTCCCACTTCAGGGAACTCTCGGTTTAATGCAAGAAATTATATTCAACTTTCATAAATTGCGTACGTGTTTAATTATTTTTATTTTCTATTTTTATGATCTATGGCGTATAAAAATCTATATCTATATATATAAAAGAGTGTGTCTTGGCAGACTTACTGAGTTACACAAATTGCAGAAGCTTCAGTAATCTCTGTAGATATTGCTTAAAGCTTATATTAAAATAACCTCATCAAAAATGCTGCCAAATATGTTTGCATTGACAACGTAATGTCATTAGCTTAGTGGAAGGTCTTTGGTTCAAATTCAGCAGCAATTTCCTATTTTGGTGTTTATGAATAGCATTCTTTACTATTCTCACAAAGCAAATATCATTTACAATAAATAAAAAGTGAAAAATATTAAAAGAATGCCAATGTATAGGCATGTGTTGTCAATTTGAGCGGGTTTTTATATTTCTAAGGTTGGAAGGAATTCCCCAACTATTTTTGGTGCAACTTGCAACGAGCGACTCTGGCTAACATTTTCTAGCATATAGCATGTATATATGTAAATATTTTGTATTTCTTATTCGTTTTATGTTTGGCTTAAGCAATCGAGTTGACCTTTTGTAAAATGTTATTGTATACTAAATTTGAGAGCTATCATTTACAAAAAACTGTGTACTCTCCACAGGGCTTAACTTCAAAAAATAAAACTTGATTTTTGATTTCAAATATTTCATAGTTCCAAATTACGTGAAGACTGGGAGGATCGTAGCATATCGCTTATTTTTTTTCTGGTTTACTTATAGATACTAACCAAGATGGCTTGTCACTGCAAGTACTTTATAAAGATTTTGAACAAATGCTGCTTCTGCTTCTCACTGCGCACGGGCACATTATTGTTGGGCTGCATATTCTTGACCTGGTTCGTTTACCTATGCCTTGGAAGCGCATTCATGATGCGGTGCATCTTCCCCAACGAATATCAGCGGGAGGTTTTTGGTCCTCCAGCAGCCCCAAAGACAACAATGGTCTTCTCGTTCTTCGGCATCATAGCAGCTTCAATGGTCTGCATTGGAGTGCATAATGTGAGTAAAAAAGCAGGAAAACCTTCTATACTCGGAGTGCCAAATTGTGTATAAACCTACAGGTATACTCCTATGGAAGATGTCTCTTTCATATGTAATCATAATGCGCTTTTAAAGGGCATCCCTCATTCTCAACGCACTTTTACAGAATCCTTTCTCCCACAGAATAACGAACTGTTGTTCCTGCCATTTCTGGTGCTCACTCCTTTCTATATCCTCGTGCATATAATTGCCATGATAGTCTATGCTTGGGTCTGGGTCATCATCGCTCTCTTCGTAATTACAATAAGTGAGTGGAAGTGAAGTTTGGCTGATTTTCTTCTAATTGGATTTCCACTATCTTACGCAGTTGTTTTAATCTATGCCTGGGTGATAATCTTCTCCTACTTTTCGGAACTGCGCTATGCCTACGATGATGAGCAGCCCCACCACACCTACATTTAAGACACAAATTGGTCAAAACGGTTTGTTTATCTGCTTGTTTTAATTAATTTGCTGGAGTAAAAATTGTGCAAGTGAATATCGCGTTTTAGTCGCCAGTTTTCAGGGAGTTGCCAACTGTTGTCATTGGAAAAATTTTCCCGTGTGTGTGGAAAATGCTTGCATGAATATATTTTCTTTAGTTTTTTCGATGTACAAATTCTTGAAGATTAACATTTCTCGAATAAATCAACTTAATTATGTGGAAATGGAAATGGATGTTCAATGGATATGGAAAATTTCAAGAAAATGCTTGGCTCGGGGATATCTGGGGAGTAATATCTGATATAATGGCATACACGTATGATTAGGGCTTATCTTTTACACATTCTATTTACACGACTTTCTGGCTGTCATGCATGATGCGTCATGCGGGTTGATCTGGTTGTCTGAGGTTTAAGAGTTGGGGGTCTGAACTTACCTTTGGCAGTGAGGCGAGCACCTGCTGCTTGACATCCCAGACGAGACGCTCCGATGGGAACTGAAGACACTTGTAGACATTCAGCTCCGGCACATGGATGCGCACCAGTAGCCAGCCATCACGGGGCTCTGGCGGCGGCTCATCGTCAAACGCACCCGGCCCGGACGTGCTGTCCATATTGGCCGGGTTCTGTTTGACTTTGGGCGTGGGTGGGTGATACGTCGTAATTTTGACGGCTTTTCGCGCACAGCGTCACAGCTTACAAAAAAAAAAATTTATTGGCTGAAGAGGCAAGTTTTCTGCCTTCCCTTTTCTTTATTGTCTTTTATGCTTTTAAGTTGCTTTGCAGCTCGTATTTTTCTTTGGTATTTCAGAAATCTTGTCAATGGCGCATTTATTTGATTGAGCTGGCCGTTGCCAATTGCTGAAAAGCGTTTCGCTCAGACATTTCCTCGGAGCTTTTCCGTTGAGTGGACAGCTTATCAATTGGAAAGTGCATTATAATGCTGCTAAAAAAAGAGAAAGGTTTGAGAATTGATTATTAATTAGTTATAACAATCAGAGAAAAAAAAAAAAAAGCTTTAACCTTCAAGAACTTTTTCTCCAAATCCCGAAATACGACTTTAATACCGTACTCAATCTAGAATATTTAATAGTTAGCTTAATAGTAAAGTTCATACTCTCGCTTAGTACGCAGTTTTTCTCTGAGTGTAGCTTCGCTTTTGTGAGTACTTAAGTAACCACGCAAGACGTCAGATATGTTGTCACAGCACTTGGTTGACGCAAAAAAAGTTAATTTGTAAATTGGTTTACAATTTTTTTAGCGACTGCATACCCGACCTCTCCGCACCCTCGCTTTAGACAGTCAGGCAGTCTGTCAATCGGTCGCTGTCATTGTGTCAGTTGCACGGACACTTCCCCATAAGCCCCATAAATTGTTAAGGCGGGCAAAAACCAGGCACATTCAACATTCGCTGTTGCTGTTGCTGCTATTGCTGATTAGTCTCTGATATTGACATTTTATAGCCGCAGCAGCACACTCACTGCTGCAGTCGGAGTTGCAGTTGCAGTTGCCGCAATTATGCACAAATTAAATTCACACGCTAACCTCAACAGCGAAAAAAAAAAACAAACTGGAAGGCGGTTTTTATGGCATCAGCCTGAAAATGTGTGCCAAAGCGTGTAGAGAGCGCGGCGAGGGGATGGGAACGGGGCATTTTATGGCAGCCGTGTTGATTGTTTTAGTAATTGGCTCAGAACGGTTCGTAATAAAAGTTGCGGGTGGCAGATTAGCTGAAAGCATCTTTAGCTGGAACAGAAAGTGATAGGCGATCATTTACAGAAATTGGGTCAATCAAACTGATTGACGATCAACGCACAGCTCAATCTGTAGTATCTAGGAGCCTGCAATGTTCACAGTGCTAACCGTTTGGTGCTGTGAATGAGCTCTAAGACGGCATTCCTACCGCAAGGCTGGAAAACTTGATCAAACAAATTTATAAAAATCCACCTCACGGTCTCACGCGACTCTTTTGCTATGCCTAAAACACACAATTATATTCGGAACAAATCTTTACAGCAGTGCTCAAGCATAGCTCAAAGCATTTCGAGTGCCACTTCTCTTAGAACACTTAAACAAGAAAAGCCAAGTACAACACTCAATTATCTCGCTCGTAAATCATTAAATTGCGCCTAAACGATTCAGATTGTTGCAGTCTACTTATTTCTTAACTAGAAATATATATGGCTTAAGAACCTTCAAGTAGAAAGCACATTTGAAAGCGAGTTGAGTTTTGTTGTTGTTTTTTTTTTAATAGAAGGCAATGCAAACAGAACACACAAATATTTATCCAGTTCAGTGCACTCGAAAAGGAATCCAGAAACACGACAATTGAAAAGATGTCACGGTCAAGAAACTGCGTACACTTTGCCGAAATACATAAATTAAATAAATTTAAACAAGTGGACTGAAAACAAAAGCCGTTCACCTTGGCAACCCACCTGTCAATCAAAAAGGCCAAGTGAAAATTATCAACTGCTCAACTGCGACTCCAATATTTTGGGACAGATAATAACATGGCCAAGGCAAAGGCAAAGGCAAAGTCAAAGGCAGCTGATTTGGCTAATGATGAGGCACGACTGTATGATAAGCCCTCTCTTTCAATTCTCTCTGATAAGAACTGGCTATGAATTCTGGGGCGCTAAGGTAAACAAAACTTTTAATTAACAGCAATTGTCGCCTCATACATTACGCATACGCATACGCCACGTGGCCCCAAGTCATTCAACTTAATTAAAAAAGCAAGCGGAGTGTGCCATATCTATGCAATAATCATTTTATGCGCCTCAAGTTTATCAGCAGCAGAAGAAGAAGTGGGGGCAGTTTGAATTCAATTATACTCTGCCAAAGGGCATTCTAATTCAGTGACCGGATGTGTAACGCACGCAAGCTGATAAATGTTGTGTGTATATCCGTTATAGCCGTGTCCCTCTGCTTTTATCCGAACTCATCTTTTTGTTATCCTATAGCATTCCAATATTATATAGCTGGCATACAAATTATCGGTCGTTCAATTAAGGCTATATTGTTTATCAAGAAATCTTGTCAACAGCGGAATATAGGAATCTGAGAAATTACATAAATCTATTGCCCAACTGCTAAGGTATTTAAGCCTTGGTAATTCGAAAATAGCTCTCTCTCTCTCTCTCTTTCCCTCGTCTCGAATTGAATTGAATTTCAGCGCGCTGAATCTTTGGGTCTTAGCCCAAAGTTTAACGCTGACATTTGCTGCGCTTTTTATGGCCAATCGCTTTTAATTGGAAAAGTTGCTAAGCCAACGTTTGTTTTGCAGTTGAAAACCTCCCCAGCCACCCATTCCGCTGCCCCTTTCTATCCAACAACTTGGCCAATACTTTTTAATCGCAATTTAAAGTGCGCAGTGTTGATTTATGAATAGCGCAAAACAGCAACAACTCAATTATCGCAATTATGGTGCGAACTGCAACACCAACAACCACTAAAGCAACAACATTTGATTACCGCAATTTCCATGCCAGCTAAGTGCAGCGATTTTTCACTTTAAGCGCATAATTTTGCACAAACAGCATTTGGGCTTGGGGCTGCGCAACCCCTTTTCTGTTGACTTTGATTGAACAATTATGTTTGACCTTTGCGCTTGTGACATGTGCACAAATCAAAATTAATGTTGGCTCTGCTCCTCCGCCCCTCCCTTGGCCTGCTGGTCATTTCGCTCCAATTGTTTTGTCTGTACCTGACAGCTGTCAGTTTGTTGTGTGTGCTTGTGTTTCGACCGCCAGGTGGCGCAACAGCCAATTCTCGCCCGCAACCCTCAAATCCATCTGACAGTTATGTGCTCTTCACGCCTGACAGGCAACATTTATTGCCGGGGGGTCTTTTATGCGCCCCAATTCCGGAATAAGCTACCTGATATATAGCTGATTCGGCGGACAGCAAATCCCTATAGAAATAAACAACAATAAACAAGGGTGCTCGAGAATACTATACTAAAAGATACTGTGTATCTGGAAGCCTGCCCCACATAATACAAAAAAATTTCTTTAATAACGTTTGCTTATATATTCCAATGTATATGCATATCCCAGGTCTTAACTATAACATTCAAAATATAACAAGGATCAATGGGAAATGTTGTCAAAAATAAACAAATATGAAGATGGATCCGTCTACATGTTATATTTGCGCACCCCTTTTTAATGCCCAGGGTAAAGTTCAGTTTTTCCATTTATGTCCATTGTTTACATTTTATAGTCTTACATTTATAATCTACGCATTTAGTGCAGACTTTTTGCAACTTAGTTGGTAAACTTGCAGTCAGGTTGTAAAACATGGAAAGCTCTTAAATGTGGACAACCCTGACGCCCACTTGAGCAGCCTCTGAGCTGAATGCACTCGAGTGCGCCGGCTGTCGCAAAGTTCAGCTCAAGTATTTGTGACACTTTCTGACAGCCATCGAAATTTGCCAAAAAGTAGATGAAGAATATTACAAGGAGCAGAGTGTGACTGGCAGAGTGCCCGCCTGCAGTGGCCTAACCCAATGCCCCACAAAGTGCAGCTGCGGCAAGTCTGGGCACACTTGAAAGACACTCAGCTGAAATTATGCCACATCGAATGGATTTTAGTGGAAATTAGTTCCCTGACTGATGGACGGCTGACTATAGCCCCGAGGGGCTCAGCGCGTTTTGTGGGTCAGCGTGCAACAAAATGTCACTCAGTTGCTGAGGCACTCATGAGTGTTGCGGCATTCGCAAGCGAATACCCTTAGTCATGCATATTTTAAATTGCGTACAGCTTTAAAGCAAATTACTTTTGTCATTTTAATGGCTGAGCTTGGAATGAGGCACTGTGATTTCGGCGACCAGCAGCTTGGGGTGGCTGGGCTGGTTCGGCGTAGGGGTTGGCTTGGGTTGGTTTGGGTTGGTTGTGTGGGAGCCACTCCGCAATCTTGTCGGATGTTGCGAATTATTTGCCTTGGCAACGCAGCACCAAATTGCCAACAACCAGCTGCAGCGAGGCGGACGGTCACGCCCTCAACCACAACTTAATAAATACACAGCCATTTTTCTCGAGCAGTGGCACAGTGAAACGTAATGGGAAAACTGCGAAATGCTGAGAGTCTAACTAGTTAGTCCTCTTTATACTTATTATTGGAATTCCTGTGCAGTTATTAGCTTGGAGTTTGTGATTCAAGGCCAAACTTCTTATTAAATAAACTTCTATTAAATATTGCCCATACCTGAGCCTGATATTTAAGGTTTAAACCCGTAGGTCGCTCACTCTATTTTTTTTTTCTATATTGCCCCACTGTGAAGCTTGCAGTTTGCAAATCGAATCGCCATTTTGTTTGCGCTGCGCTCGGCTCCTGGTGCACTGTGTTGTGTGTACCGGAAGCGGAAATGCGCACATAATTCTGTTAGAAAACGTGGTACAGTCCATGAGCAAGCCACAGGCTCCGCTCGCCGTTCTTCATCTGGAATTCCAGAGACGCGCGCTTTAATTAAATAATATTAAATACAATTATGCTTTGCGCCTTTCAGCAGAGCGCAAAGTTAAACTGAAACTGGAAGTCAGGATAGATTTTATTCTGTAAGCACAGCAAAACACGTCGCTCAAGTTTGTGGCAATGTCAAAGTTTCTTGGCTAATTTATTTCACTATTTTTGTATTTCCAAGGCGAAGAGGAAACAACAGCATCAGCAGCAGCCACAGAAAACAAATCTAAAGAAATACAAAAAAAAATGAAGAACCGAAAACTTGTTTTCCAGTCACGTTCATTTTCAATCAAGTGGCATCATTATATGCCAAACAATTCAGAGAGAGAGAAAACTAATACAATAAGAAAATTAACTCTGACCCATGCGGCTGGCCAAGCCAGCGGCCACACATATGTGGCCCCAATGGCTGTTGCCCTTAACCCTTCTTTGCGCCCTCTCCAAGAGCCGTCAGCTGGCCCCCGGTCGGATTCTTTGTC